ACTTTCATATCCCTGCAGATACTCAGATATGATAGCGCGCTTTGGTCGGCCGGTGCCTGTTATGAGCATGGTCACAAATACTGTGCTGGATTATATCTTTACCACCCACAGTCACAGAATACTACAATGGAACCAAGCTATTCTGCAACTGGCAAAGCTTCAAATATATGCTGATGCAGTCTCATTAACGGGAGCAGCATTGAACAATTGCTTCGGCTTTATCGATGGAACTGTCCGGCCAATTTGCAGACCCGGAGAGCACCAACACGTGGTGTATAAGGGCCATAAACGTGTTCATACGCTTAAGTTTCAATCCATTGCTCTTCCAAATGGGCTGATCGCTAACATGTACGACTCTGTTGGTAAGTATATTTGGTACTCAAGTATCTTGTTTTGAGAGGGCATACCCCCTCTCTGCACAAAGAAAATGCAGTACATTTATGGGATAATTGGAGCCCCCTCAAGCAAATCCTAGCTACATCCTTGTTTTGAATGTCAGTCAACCATTCACTACTCTATTGCCATTTTTTTGAGTCAGAAAATCACTTTTTTTGCTCACCGCTCTTTTGAAATAGTTAACAACACTAGGGTGTAGGTCATTACTTTTTCACCATGATTACAAACGCAAAACACTGTAAAATGTTCTTTTTTGTAGAGGGCAGGAGGCATGATTCTTGGATTTAACAGACTCACAATTACTGCCTCTCTTGAATCAACATGCATTCTTACCAGGGGGGCAGCTTATGTACATCTATGGGGACCCCGCCTATCCCATGAGAGCTCATCTGATCCAGCCATTTAGAGACAGGGTGTTGACTCCTCAGATGCAAGCATTCAATACGTCCATGAGCAAAGTTAGAGAAGCTGTAGAATGGTTGTTTAAAGATGTTGCCACATCCTGGAAGTTTAAAGATTTCAAGACAAGAAGAATTTAAAGATAGGGCTTAATAGAGTAGGCAAAATGTATTTGGTAAGTGCCATTCTACGAAATGCCTTGACTTGTCTCTACAGAAACATGACATCAGAGTACTTTGATCTAGACCCACCAGCTCTGCAGGACTATTTTATTTAAACCAAACATGAATAGAAAATGAAGTTTCTGGTTCTCTTTTATGATGCTTCTTCGCATTTTCTGTCCTGTTAATGCTTTTCAAAGGTATTAGAAAAGTGTGTTATATCTCTAAATTAATTGCCACTATAGATTAATCAAGATTAATTCGATTAAAATTAGATTAAGATTAGATTAAGGTTAGATTAATTAGATTAATTTAGAAAATACCTGTATTGCTGTTACGTACGTAAAATAGTTCAAAATCGATACCTTATAGTAAGTAGGGTGAAGAAGCTGTCTTGTACTGTAAGTACTGTTAATAGCTCTGTTGTTTTGTAAGTAGTGTATGTAGCCTTTATTGTACTGTTTTAGTGTAAAGTAACAGCAGAAGTGTTGTAAAGTATAAGCAAACATAATAAAATAAATAAAATTAAAAAAAATTTTTACACTTTTATCACAGGGTATGTAAAGGGAATAAAACATATTTTAACATTACTCTGACATGATTCGTGGATCAGCTGTTACATTCCAGTGAAGCAGGGAGTGGAAGATTTGATGCTTGCAAAATTAAATGACAATTCTCTGGGATAGACAAAATAAACCACTAAACTGTCACACAATACGAATCCCTCCATTTTAAACATATGCATAGATTAAACTTAGAAACATCAACATTAGACCAACCCTAAATGACATTCAAAATAAAATAAGCTGGTCAAAGCTTAGTTTAGAACCTGAACAACTGTGATGAAGAAGACAAGAAAAAAAGTATATTAAAGGATTGTTCAGTCACTTGTCAGCCATTTTATTCAAAATCTGTAGTATGGCTGCATTCTGGTTTTGGATCATGGTGAGCAATTCTTGATGCATCTTTGCCTCACGCTCTGCTTCAGCTTGTCGAGCTTCCACCTTCTCCCTGAGAAAATCAAGAGTTTCACTTCCACTCCTTCTCGACTTCTTGGCAACAGGCTCGGCCTTTTCTTCCGCATTTCGTTTACTCGTTTCTCCGAGCTTTTCACAAGCTTTCCGCCTTATCTCTTCACCAATCGCTCGATCTGAATCAGCCTTTTCTTTACTAATGCAACCAAGGTCATAGGCCTCAGCCTCCTCCCATTTTTCTGATATCTCTTCCATCAGGATATCCATCTCGCTATCTTCGATGTCAACTCCACCCAGTTTCGCCTGATGTTTTTGTTTCGCCTTGAATTTGTCCAGTAGTAGTTTGAAATGTTCCTGTACGTTTTTCTTCTTCACCTGAAATCTCAAAGAGGTTTCGTCATTCAGACTATCCGTGATGGCATTCCATAGTTTTCCTCGATCTGCATTCCTTAGTTTGAAGATCCATGGTTCTGAAGCTCTGACTTCTTTCGCTAGAATCAAATCGTGTGCTCCTGTCCATTCCATGATCGAGCTAGAAGAGAGAGAGAAAAAAAAGCCTATTAAAAACAGGTCCTGTCTATCGATTCACCTTTCGGAAATACTCCGAAATTCTAGAGACAACTCGGAAGAACAAAATAGCATTTTGTACAAGCAAGTACTTGCAATCTAAAGTTTTAAAGTCTACAAGACGTAAACATCGCTCGGAACAACGTGAATCCCAGGAAACTCACCCATTTCTTTTGCTTTTCTCTCCTTCGCTGCGGGCTTCGCTTGCCATCTTTCTTCTTCACTCACACCTCCAATGTGAAGCGTGATTTTCGCTGTAAAGCAAAAGAAAGATCAAATATTTGCAAATAAAATATAAATATAAGCGTCAAAAAAACATTTTTTGACTTTATAGAGGAGTTTCCGTGTATTTTAGGTGCTACAAATCAGAAAAGAAAGTGACCGTCTCTCGAGGCAGCCAAACCTACCTTTCTCGCTGTCGCCACTGTTGGAGGACGCGGGCAACACTCCACGTGATTATGCTAATTGGCTCGAGAGCGGGAAATTTTACTTCTGGTTGACGTCCACCTCGCCGTCTCCAGTGTTTGCTAAGGCCTTTAATTGTAGGACATGCAGCCTTGGTTTACATCGTACATCTTTGATATTGGACATCTATTTTTATGGTCAATTGACACCTGTCAAAACAAGGTATCTGCTGACCAGTATCACGTGACCATATTGCGGGCTCAAGTTTTGAGCTCATCGAGGTCACGTGTTTTTTAAGTTAACTGCTGACCAAGTACCATGCTAGACGGTAAATATGACATTTCTGAGCTTGGTTGCTAAGCTCGCCACCTTTGCCATCTCGGCAAGTAAACATGGTGGACAGTCGCTGAATAAAATTTTCATTTATTCGAAAGACATCACTCCGAGTCCAGGACGTTTGAAAGGAGGAAGAATTTTCATAATGACTGCTGTCTCCCTTGGACCAAAAATCTTTTCAAGAACTCGTATTCAAGACATTTAAGAATCGTCATGAAACGCAGTGGTTACATTGATTGCCATTTTTTTTTGTTCAAACTAAAGCTACTCATTTTGAGACGATGACGACAACTGTGAACGAAGTCAACAACGATAAAACAAAGGTACGGGATGATTTTATTGTTCGTAGTGTTTCGCTTGTTTCTTTTACTGCCGAACTCGATGAGCGTAAATTGATTCACAATAGATGTACATGTATGTTTATCATTAAAACTACGGCTGAGTATGTGTATGCAAACAAACAATCGCGTCTGTGTTTTTATGTTTTTGCCTGTTATTTTGTAGGCCTTGATATTCACCTCTGAAAATTATACTAAAGCAATTATTCGCCTCAGGCTCAGTGAACATTGGTGAATATTCACCAAAGTTCACTTCGCCTTCGGTGAATAATTGTCAATTACTGTAAACAATGTGAGTAGCGGAGCTCCAGGGGTCTGAAGGGGCGCCAAGCGGAGTCCCATACTCATAGAAACCCATGAATCGCTTTTCTCATGCTAAAAATTGCTAACGGTATTGTTCGTGGGCGCGTATGCACGACGACGATGACGACGCACAACATGGCGACCATACTCCAGCTAATAGGACATGGGGCCTTGGTGTACAGCGTACATATATGTTATTTGCCGGCTGGGAGGTCCGTGTAGTAAAAAAACTGTGACCAAGGTCTTGAAAATGCTGCCCGAGGCCGCTGGCCGATGGCAGCATTTTCAAGCCCGAGGTCTATACGGACCGACCTTAAGCCGGCAAATAACATATTTATTTTTTCCTGCGGTAAATTGGCTTACAAGTGGGTTTGGTTACGCAACTTTGTCATTGAATTGGCTTACGTGCCGTCTACAAACCATCGCAAAAAATCTACCGAGCGAACGAGCGAGTAACTCAGATACTAGACAAAGAAATGTGTATTAAAGAACAGATTTATTCCAAACTACTTTATGTTAATAACACCCAACTGGTGGACTAATGCAAATCCTACATTTTAATTGGCTACGCTACTAGAGGACTATTAGATTTAGTCTTCGAGTAGCGAAATTGGGGCAGTCAAGCGTGACGCTTTCTTTCGTTCTATTCCCAAATAAATATTTCTTCAACTTGCATTTGCTAACTTTATTATTGCCTTTTCTGTCGGACTAGCTGGG